CTGAACTGTTGATCGCGTCGGCAGCGTCGCCTACAGTCCAAGACTACCGCTCCAGCCACCTGCCTGCTGCCCTGCTCTACAACTTCCATCCCTCCTTTGCCACTCTCTCAAGACCCGTGAGAGAGGAGTTTAGGGGAGGTTATAAAGCTGAGCTTAAATTACCAGCTTTCTTGTCGTTTCAATGCACTACACTACTCCTATTAATTTGACCAAGTCACCTCGTTTTTATGCCCTTCAGGCCTATATCTTTTGGCAAAAATGACCAAGCATCGACCTCTTTTAACTCCCAGCCATGTAATCTTTTTTACCTTTGATAGTGACATTTTTTGAGCGAGAAAAATGGGCTGATTTCCACTTGCTTTTATATATAGATAGATTTCACATGTGCATGTGTTATGATACTTAAAGCATCTTCAAATCTTAAATGTAACAATGTGAATGATGAATATGTGCTATGCGAGAGATAACATGTAAAAATGAATGAATAACATCTTCTACCCATTTAAACATTTTTATCCATTTTTTATAAGTTCACCTTTGCGATGTTAAGTATAACATCTAAATTAGACTTTGCGATTGTCATTGTTGATAAAAAATAATTAAATAAATAGAAGATCGCGTAAAAATGAGAGTGAAATTTCTTCCTTTTAATTAATCCGAAACTAGAACCATGCTTTGACCTATGAGGGACCGAGTTCAAAGGTAGACGAAGTGAATACCAAATATGTTATTACTTCAACTAAAATTTTATGGATCTTATTTTTTTAGGTCTATCTTGAGCTCATAAATATTGATACGGATAAATATGTACTTTATCATTATTTAAATCCAAAGTGATCAAATTTAAGTATAATTAAAATCAAAATATCTCTAAGGCTAACCGCAACCCAGTTCCGTTAATAAATCAAATTCCCCGCAACATTATACGTATTCATTCAGTCAATTCAGTTTTTGTTGCAATCCAGTACCGTCAATATATATTCACCTAACGAAGTTCTTTTTAATTGTTGTCTTACTTTTATTATTATACATAAATTTGTTTCTAGTTTTTTTGTTGCGAATAGTTACGATTCGAAAAGCTAAACATTCCGAAGTAAAAATAAATAAATTTAGAGTTAAATATTTTTTGTTCCGAAAAGATCGTGTAGTTGAGACTTATTTTTTTAACTTAATATATTCAATATTGATGTCATATGAAAGATAATAAAAAGTTATGAATTTTGATATATATTTATAAAAATTCAAATACAAAAATAAAAGTTAGAATAGTTTAAAGAAAAATGGGATTTATTTTTGTGGAAATATCCGCTTGGGTCTATATTTCCTAACTGCATTTCATTTATGTCTTCTAATTTTTTACTTTTCATTTATAAACTTTCACCTTTTCACTTTTAGCTAATTTATTTCAAAAATAATCTAAATCTAAATAAATCCCAAATCGAAACGTCGATTTCTCGCATCAAATTTCGGTCCATCTTCGGTCATCTATGGAGGAAAACCTTCCTTCTCCAAGATCGAGTTGCAGACTGCAATAACAGGGGGCCCGTAGAGACGGTGGACGTATGCCACAACTTCAAGTTCGCAGGGGACCTTTGAGGCAACGGCGGCTATCATCTGGAGCGGCGGCGAGATCTAAGGCGAGCGCGGCAAGTAACATCAGTAGGGGAGCTTCAGACATATGCACATAGCGGTGACTTGGACGGTTTGCTCATCTTCAGTCTTCATGACCTCACCGCTGGTCAAACTGAAAAATTTAAGCAAAAACGTCATAGATGTGTGCGGCTGTTTTCCCCTCCCCCTCATCAGGCGCCGCCTCCGCCTTTGCCTGCTCGGTTGCTCACTGATTCGTTGCCTAATTGCCTCTTTGGTTTCCCATTTGCAGGTATGTGATTGAGATTATGAACATTATATTTTAATTTCGCTTTAATTTTTAATTTTAATTCATATAGCTAATCTTTAGTTATATTTCCGATTCAGCTTTGTTTATTGCAAAAATTAAATTTAGCATTAATCACGGTCTTGTATCGATACCTTGTTTTCAGTATTTTTGTTTGCCCTAATTGAAGTTCTCTTCTTCTAGAGTGAATGACTCATTTCTCTCTTATTACATCATGGTTGTTTATAGCTTAATTGAAAACACATCTTCTTACTCACTCTAAAGGACATTTTTTGAGTTCTTAAATGTTAATTAATCCAATAGATTAGTGATTGATTAGGCAGTAACAGGATATTCTCAAATTGATTATTTAATTTGTTGAATTCTGAAATTTCAACAAATACTCCTTTCATAAAACAGTTTGAGAATTTCTGAGGTTTGAACAAATACTCCTTTCATAAAATAGTCTACTTTCTTTTACAGAGTATGTCTTTACTTCTCATGCTTATTGTGTATCCTTTTGGTCTTGTCCTCAACTTCTCATGGGAGCTCAATACACCATGGAAAAACAACTGAATGATCTTCTGATTATTTGATAGTACAGAGTGAATGAATGGCTCTTTTTGCTACAGCCTGCCACTTTTATGGGTTCTTCCAAATTTAGTCACCACATCATTATACAACATCTGATTATGGCCTTATGGGATTCTTTTTAGTGTTATTGCAAAAATTTCCCATGTTGTTCTTTCACTTCCCCACAAGGAGTTGCTACATAAATTAAACAGTTCACATTAGTTTGGATGATCGCAGAAGTGCTAAGTGTTCTCCTCCGTGATGATAATATTACAGGATCCTCATAGTCTGGATTCATTCTCTTAGGCTTTGTGTATGTGCGGGTCAAATTTAGATATCTGAATTTGAATTTCATTGATGAACCCAATTTGGAGCACATAGGGAATTGATGGGTGTTGATGAGATATTGCTATAAGCAGCATGCGTTTTCGTAGAAGTGAAGTGAGCAGCTAAATGACCACGAAGCATCTCCCTGCTTCTTGAATCGCATGTGAACGGCTTCCCTCTATGGATGTGAAGAACCATCTCTCGTTAGAAGTTAGAAGTGTGAAGATGTGCAACTCTACATGTTTTTAGGGTTGTTCTTCATGTATAGTGGAATATGAAATACTGCATCCCAAGGACATTCTTTATCCTTTAGACTACTTGTAAATGTAGATTAGAAAATGAGCTTGGTTGTACACTCTTATATATTGTGTAATGATGTTTGTAATTCTAAACATGAATATGAAACATGAAATTTAAATGTATTGTATGTTGTATTTTCCCTTTTGTTTCTTTTTGTTTTATTGTGTTGTTTTTTTGTTTCATTTTGTTGTTTATTGTTGATATTGATTAATAATGCCTGATTTTATTTATTATTCTTAATTTTGTATTTATTTTTCCAGTTATTTTTTCTACTTTGGCACTAAGACACCCTATACATGTGTGTGTACTCATAAAATTGCAAATAGTCATAAGAAACAAAAATAAACAATAAGAAACAAAATTAAACAATAAGAAACAAAATATGAAAATTCATCAACAGAAAGAAACAAAAAAAAATAACCATACAAAAAGTAATGCAACAAAATAAACAATTTTTTTCAAAATTTTCAGGTTTAATTTTTTACATTTAATTTTCATTTTTCATATTTTTATTTCTGATTTCTTCTATTTTTTTATGTTTTATAATTTAATTTATTTCCCAGTTTTAAGAATTTATTTTCTGTTTTTATTTTACAAATGCATATATATATATATATACATATATATATATATTGAGTTTTTCTAATTTAAACACTTATTTAAATTTCTTAGTTTTTTTTTTCTTTTCCATTTTTTTAAAGTTTATTCTTTTCATAAAAATCTTGAAATGTCTTCCATGGTTTTCTTATACGGAGTAGTTTTAAAACATTTTTTATTTATTTATTTTACATATTTGTCTATAACTTTTAGGTTTATAGTTTTTTTTTTAAAATTCCACACGCTTATGAGCTTACGTTGATTTTCTTACTTTTTATTTTTATGAATTATATTTTCTATATATATTTTTCTTTAAATATTCCGTATTTAATTTGATTTTTTTTTGAATATTTTCAATTTATATATTTATTTGAATTTTTTAGATTTTTTATTTTGCATATATTCCAATATTAAAAAGTAATCTTTCACAAATTTTCTAATTACGTTTCATATTTTTAATAGTTCCAGAACTTTTTTATATTATTTTATATTTCATAGTTGTTTTTTAAATTTAACTTATAGGTTCAATTGGCATTTTTATTACAACTTTTTTTGAAATTTTTATTTTTACTTTGAATTTTTCTTTAGTTTCTTAATTAATTTTGTTTTCACACTCATAATTTATTTCCAATTTTTTGTATTCGATTCTTTTGATGTTTTAATATATATATATATACACACACACACATTTTATTCTATTTAAAACAAAAAACAAAAAAAGAATAATTCCTAGAATTTTATGAGTTCAACAAATAGGTCACTAGAGAGCAGAGATACGTAGGTTCTCAATTACGGAGTAAAGATACTGAACTTAGCTTGCGAAGGAGTCCATACTGAAGCATGCTCTATTAGTGAAAGAAAAAGCTTAAGTAGTCTACTTTTGAAAAAAACTTTAGCTAGTGACAAAAATGATATTATTTCCACTCTTTAGCTTATTTCTGAAAAATTCCCTTTATTTTTTCATGTTGGCCCATCCGTTTCACGCAAGGCTAGCCATTCTTTCGTGAATAAAGCTACAAAATTCCATTCCCGAGGGGCCTCCAACCCACTTTGGCCCTTCTCAATACATTGGATTGCACTTGTTTTGGGGGTGAAAAGCTCAAAATTGGCCTTTTCACCCCAAGGTTGCAATCAGTCTAAGAAAGAACAATGTACTTTGCTTAGAGGGAAAAAACATTCCCATTTTATTGGTCTTTTTCAAATTTCATTTTCTGTTTATTCATTTTTTTTGTTATTTTATTTTAGAGTAATGAATTTGTGATTAATTTATTTCTAAGAATTTTACTTCTTTTGGTAATGATGTCAAAAACTCAAAATTGACGATGCCATAGAGGTAATAAAAGAAGAATCCCTTCTAAAACGTAACGTAACAATAGGTAACTCAAAATTGTCAATTGGTACTGATAGCAGAATAGAAAATCTTGCTCGCACCGCAATCTTCCTCCCGTCAGTTCGTCTTCAGCTGCTGGTGGGGTCACTTCATATTTCGTCAATTGCAGGCGCCAAGCAGCAGGTTCGTCCTTGATGTTTTTCTGTTTGCATTCTATTTCGGTTTAACGCTTCAGAATTGAGATCTATGACTTCTGGTTTAGCACTCCAGAAATCAGATTTAGCTCATCAGGTTTCTGTTCTGGCAGTGCATTCAAGTTTTTTAAATTTTCTTCTTATCTTTTCTTTTACCTTTCTGGTTTAATACTTAGTAGAGTTATGATTACCTAAATTTGTTCAGATTAGTGCGTCGTAATTGTTTTTCCGACTAGCACAAGATTTAATAGTTGTGTTATTATAATTTAATTAAAAATCATATTTTACTAAGATTGGCCTGTAGAGAATTTCGGTTTAGCGATTTTAGGGGTTATTTGTTGATTAGGTAGTTTGATGGTTATGCCATTATTTTTATTGAAATGTTTGAAGTGTTTAATGGTTAGTTGTAGTATGAAATTGTATATTGAATTGTTGATGGATTTTTTGCATTTTCTTAATTTATATTTTGGTTCAGTTATGAGTTAAGTAATAATACACATACAAAAGAGCATTTAGATTTGAAGAGTTGAAGACGTTTCTAACCATAGTAGTCCAAGACTAGGAGTATTCTGGAGTGTGCGTCCACAAACCTTATGAACAATGACATGTTAGGTGACTGCTTAGTGCCATATTTTGAAAACGATAAATTTTAAAGTGTGTCGAATGAGAAGATATTACAACTTCAAATGTTGAGAGAATGTTAACAATTGTTACGTCGTACTATGACATAAGTATTGATTATCCTTTAAAATTCTGCTTTTAATTTCAACATTTTCATAGAAACATTTTGATACGATAGTGTTGCATTGTTTTTGTTTTTATATATGTCACGTGTTGTTGATTTTTTACCATCATGTATCAAATTCCAGGCTCTGCAACTGCCTACCTCCTATCCCAGTTGACTCACCTCTTCATCTCTTTCCTTTTCTGTGTTGTTGATCTCCTATCAGGCTATCATAGCTCCTTACTCATATTCTGTTTCCAAATTCTCATTCTTGTTCTCTATGCATCTAATCATTTTAGCAACATTTGCAGGCTTAAATTTGTGCGAAAATGAATTTTCTGTTGATGCGGTCAAATCAGGCAGTATCTCCAGAACCATCTCCCCCTCAGGAAGTTCAGGCAGAGATCAGTTCTGTACCAAAGTTGAGTACTGGCTTGGAGGGTCTAATTGCAGAAGATTCATTTCAGCAGGCCACTTATTCTGAAGACTGCGATGTAGATGATTGTGAACATGCTAGTGCAATTGAAGATGCTGCTGGCATAAGTGGAAAGGGAAACCACATCGAGGTTTCCGAAGATGAAGGATGGATAGCTATTCCAAAGCGTATTCTCTTGTTGCATTTCATTGTCTTTGTAGAGCTCTGTTTTACATACTATTGGGTGATGTTTCATTTTCAGATCCATGCAAAATCTCCTCCCTTGTTCTGACAAATGCGGGATTAGTCTCAAACAAAGAATTATTAACAAAAGTATAAATGTGAAGCCTTCATTGCCCTTAAAAGTATTATTGGTTCATTTTGTTAACATGATGAACAACATAACTGTCTTCATTATTGGGATGGCTCAATGCTTATAGATTATTGTTTCTCCATTCCTTCATCTCCCTGCCCCAAATAAAGGAAGACAGTGAGTTCAATATGATTTCATTGTCCAATAGTGCCCCTTCATAAAAGTGAAATATGCTGATTCTAGATATGCAAACTAGTATGGTGACAAACAACAACAATACCTGAACTTGATCCCAACTCATAGGGTTAGCTATATGAGCCAACATATAAACTTCTGATGTACTTCACCAAATTCATTTCCCGAGTTTTTGCCAGGCATCATTTGCTCTTGAATTCCTAAAGCTCTTTTGTCTTTTTTCATACCTTCAGCTCATGTCATTCTAAGTCTCCCATTTCAACCACTCTTCTCACTGGAGCTCTTACCTTCCTAAGTGAGTGTCCACATTTCCTACTTTATGTGTCATAACTTATACAAATTATTGTCTTGTACTTTCATGTACAAAGCATTCAATTTGACACTCTGATGTGACTGATCACTGGTAGTGTTTTGAAAAATGAATTCGGAAACAATAAATAAAAAGTTTTAGAAGTTACATTTAATTCTATGATTGCAGACCACTTAGCATTTCTTTTCTTGCATTCCACATGGACCACTGTCTTTATAGGGCCATATCCCATTTACATGATTTACTTTTTCTTTGTCTCTCCATGTTTTGAATGTATGTGGTGTAACTTGTTAAACATCTTAATTGTTTTTCATAACTTGGAAACGGGACTCGTTTTTTATGAAGTATTACTGAACTGTAATACTCCTTTCCAGAAGAGATTCCTGATAATTGGAGTGAGGCACCTGATATATCTTCTTTACGCTCACTGGACCGCTCATTCGTTTTTCCTGGTAACTACTTTTTGTATCTTACCTTTCCATCCTTTTTCCAAGGTGTTTTACTTGTTTTTAAATTTGCGTGTGGTAATAATAATTGGCTGATCACAGGTGAACAGGTCAATATACTTGCATGCTTGTCAGCGTGTAAGAAGGATACAGAAATCATCACACCATTCAAACTTGCTGCACTTATGAATAAAAATGGGGTTGGTCAAAACAGCAAGAAAGGAAATGGACACACAGCTACAGTGATTAATAGTCCTGTCTCTAATGGAAGAGAACTAAAAAATGATGGTGAATATATGAATCAAAATTCCATCTCAGAGCAGGAAAAACATGATCCTAAAAATGAAGTGTCTTCTGGTGAATCTCTTTTGAGACTAGAGGAGCATAAAAGACAGACAGAATCCTTGCTGCTAACAATGAAAAATTCCCACTTCTTTGCTCGAATCGCTGAGTCAGATGAAAAGTTATGG